TCTCTCTCTCTTTCATCCTCCTCGGAGTCTCTGGAGATCAGCAGCTAGGGCCCAAGACTGCGCTGGGTGGGGGGTTCAGAGAGTCAGACAGCGGGCTCTGCTTCTGCTATCTGAGCTCCACAGCGGGCTTCTCCAGGGGTGGGTGGGTGTGGAGGCAGTGTTTCTTAGATTTCATGAGCCCCAAGAAGATACCTTTGAGAGGTGATGTCATTTTAAGAAATTGGCTGTAGGGTCAAACAGATATACATATTTATTTGCCTGCAGTGATATGTCAACACTTTAGAAAGTCAGACTTTAAAAACCCAGATTTCCAGCTGTGCCAATATTTGCAACTGGAGTAGCTAAAACTGAACAGCTCCACACAGGACAGAAGTGCCATTTGTGAGTCTCTGCTCTACCTTATTAATCCCCTCCAGCTTCAACTGTGGACACTTTCCAGCTGGCCACAGTTAGGAGTTGATCCTGCTTAAGGCCAACGTGGTAACAAATCCAGATTCCACTACCGCAGTCACAGGGTCTTTACAGATCAAAGTGAATACAGGAGATTTAAAAGATTCTCATAGGAAGCCCACGCTCGGGAGAACACATCTGTAGCACCAGAACTATCCATGGCTCCCCTTTGTACCCAGTTTGAGAAACACTGCCACAGGCCGCACAGGCCTGCTGTGGCACGAGCTCAGGGTTCCTCGTGTGCAGCAGGGAGGCAACAGGCCCATAGCAGGTGGGACTCGGGGCCGTCCACCTGCTCAGGGCCTGGCCCTGCCCTGAACACGTGCGGGTCCCGGCCTCTTGCAGCTGATCCAGACTGAGCTGGAAGAGGAGCCAGGGGAGCGCAGCCCCGGCCAGGGCAGCCTGCACTTCTGCCACAAGCCACCTACGGAGCTCAAAGGACCAGACGGGATCCACGTGATGCACGGCAGCACGGGCACGCTGCTGGCCACCGACCTCAACAGCCTGCCCGAGGATGACCAGAAGGGCCTGGGCCGCTCACTGGAGACGCTGACCACCGCCGAGGCCAGCGCCTTCGAGCGCAATGCCCGCACCGAGTCCGCCAAATCCACGCCCCTGCACAAGCTTCGCGACGTGATCATGGAGAGCCCCCTGGAGATCACAGAGCTATGACTAGATGGGGGGAGCCCGACGGGTATGAGCAGCCCAACCCCACCCCTCCCGGGGCAAGAGCAGGGGCAGGACCTCCGGGCGTGGGGGTGGGGGGGCCGGGGGAGGGCCCTCCCCAGGCAGCTCTGGGCGCACAGCCTTGGGTTGGCCCAGCAGCAGGGCCCACGTCAGCTGCTCAGATTCCACTTTCGCCAGACGCTCATTCGGCATCTGATCTCTACCTTCATAAAACGTTATTTTTTTAAGAAAACCAAACAGAAATGGTGAGTATCTAAGAACGAGGTAAGGAGGGTCACCGAGAGCCCAGGAGTCTGAGGATGATCTCAGCCCAGGCTGAGCTGAAAGAGGCCAAGCCGGCCCTGTTCCCCTCCCACCCCGCCTCACGGCACAGGAGTCCAGCACCAGGGACGGAGCCCAGAGCAGGCGTACCCTGCCTGGCCTTGCCTCTCTGACTCAAGTCCCAGTGCATTTCTGCCACATCCCTGGCCGGACATCCAGGTGGGGGCAGTGAGTAATCCCTGCTTCCCCACACAGACATGGTCATTGTCAGCCAACGGCATTCTCTCCATTTCACTGGCTTTCCAAACGTGCCGGGCTCATAAAACGACTGATGTTCCCTTGGGTTTTGAATATAGAGTGTTCGTGTGTATTCCTTTTTTAAATTAAGTTATTCCCTTCATATTCTCCCCTTGGTTTTGTTCAACTGATACGCACTGAACGTTTCTGGAATGGTCTGAATTTAAAAAAAAAAAAAAAAAAAAAAGCAAGTCACAAGGAACCGGCAATTCACTCTGGCTCTGGTAAACTACCCGTGGGGCTGGGCCGGCGGGTTGCGGGGGGGGTAAGGACAGGGCAGCTCTGGACCCACCTTTGGGGGCACTCCCCTGACCGCTTGCCCACTGCTGGCCCCAGGTGTGTCAGGGAGGACCAGATGGCATTTTCTTTCTCTGGCCAAATGGGGCCGTAGGACTGCTGGGCACTTACAGGTTCACGGCCTCGGAGCTCAGCAGCAGCCACTCTTCTGGCTGAGGTGTCACAGAAACACTCGGCCTCTGGTTGACAGACTTTTTATTGTTAAATCACAGAAATTTTAGTGCAAAACAAACAAAATCGGTTAAGTTCATTTAATAGCAACTGCACGTCTTGCTGTCTCCTGGCAACTGAAGTGGAGAAGATGCAGCCAGGCTGGAGAGAAGACAGGGCGACGGCTGGGGCCCCACCAGCAGCCCCTCTACCTGGAAGCCAGAGGCTTAGGAGCTTGCCATCCTCGTTTATCTGCAGGTCAAAAAGACCATCTACAAGGGGCGGGGG